AGAGCAAGTTTTCGAAAACAGAAAGAAATAATTTTTATAAAGACTAACCACAACATTAGATTTGTCACACTTTCACTTCATTCAATTATGATTCGACGCGAAAGGTATTCATCACCGGGTTTGATTTTGGGGAGACACCAATGGGTGTCTACAGTGTGTATTTTGTTATTAGAAAGAGATACGAGGAAACAAAGTAAGTTGTTTTAATTGCTCTATATCTTTAGAAAGCATGTTTAGATTTTATTAATTCCTAGTACCATGTTAGGATGCTTTTATTGCTTTTCGAGTATCATGTTTAGGTTGTTTCCTATTTTCTTTTATCATGTTATTATCATGTTAGGGATAAAGCTTTGATCTTTTATGTTTAGTTACATGCTAGTTATTAATCTTGTTAGTATCATGCATAGGGTCTTGCATATATTATTATGCTTTATTGATATTGAATATTATGATGATGATGATTGTTGTTATTATGTTGCTTGATATTATTATTGTTATTGCTTGTTCACGCCCTCTCTTGCACGGATTAAAGAGAATTTGTACTTGTAATCACGCTTAATAAGATAATTAATAATCTTGTTTAGGCTAATATGATTATAATTCAAGTGATCTCCAATAATAGTTTTGTTTGTACATTAATATTTAACCAACATAGATTAAACAGGTTTAGGATCAATGTATTGATTGTATGTTAGTCAAAAGCGCACATGGAATAAAGTAGAAGCCTACTTTTAGGGCAGGTTCAATCTATTTTAAGTTGGATTTGTACCTTCATCCCCGAATATCCAGTCATGGTTCAAGACCACTGTGCAGTTAACGATCTCATGGATCGTGAAGGGGTGTAACCTTCACCCTGTGAACGGTTACAAGTTTTCTAAAATTTGTTGGCAACTCTTTTTCTCTAGGTTCCTTCCCTTTGGACGCTGTAGACTCCTAAAAATGTCTCCCCAAAACAAAACCCGATGATGAATAACCTTTCACCGCCGTTATTGGTCGGGTTCAGTATTTAATCTTGGAGTGCTTAAATCCAAATTTCCATTTCATAAACAAACCAATTCGAAGCCCATTTCCCCAAACCATAACTTATTTTACTCTTTTCGTGCCTTTAAACCCAAAATAATTCATTTCGTGTCCTTTTTATAAAAACGTGTAGTCCATTTTATTTTGATCCATAATCTAGGTCCAATGATTAAATAGTTAAATGGGGTTTGAAAAGAGCTTTCTAACGATATATTTTTTTTTGATCCATAATTTTTCGACCCTTCTTTTTCCTTATAAATAGAGCTCATATCTCCCCTTTTGCAATCATCAACAAGCTTGATCATCAAATCATTATCTCTTTCTCTCTTTTACACCAAAAATCATTCTCTTCTCTCTCTCTCATATTCTAAGCCTTAAACCTATATTCCTAATTACACCATTCTTCCCTTAAGCACTCCAAGGAGTCCATACAACACCCTTGGTTCCGTCCTTAAACCAAGGCATGAAAGGTACCAATAATTGAGAGTTTGGACCAAATCAACTCTACTTTTTATCTTTTTTAATTATTTTCATTTGATTTATATTTTTATTGAAGTTACTAAAAATTTATTCATGATGTAGAAATTTAAAGGAACGTGCGGAATGTGAGTAATTAATTAATTTAATCTCTAATTTTATTTTAATATTGCTAGTATCATGATTAGGTTTATTATTATTTGATTTGGCTAACGTTATTATTGTTAAATTGCTTCCAATATTGATGTTTATTCTATTATTTTTTATGATCACCATTTTACATGTTTAAAGGGAATATGTAATTGAAAATCACGACTAATAAGATAATTTGGACAACCGGCTTAGGTTCCTTTTTAATCTTGTTGTTTAATCAAGTGATCACTATATTTTAGAATTATGTGGTGCATTAATATTAAACCAATTTAGCTTATTAATATCAAGTGATCACTAATATTTTAGAATTATCAAGCTTGTTGATGATTGAAAAAGGGGAGATATGAGCTCTATTTATAAAGAAAAAGATGGGTCAAAAATTAAGAAAAGATAAGAATTAAATCGGAATAAAACTCGATAGACAACAATTTTTGTTGTTTTTGTTTTTATCATATATTTTGATCCAGAAATCGGAATAAGATAAATAAGATATAGTTGGAAAGCTCTTGAAATATACTTTCTAACCCAATTGAAATCAGATTAAAATATTTTGTATAATAAAAGATATGGACGAAATATTGGGACGGTGTCAGTTTTGGATAAAGTTTGATATTTCATTCATATCTTTTCCGTTGTTGCTCGGAATTGATATTATAATATATCAATAGAAAGTTAATTTCAAGGGAAATCCATCCATCTAAGATTTGGATAACAACTATGAGGCACGAAAATATTATCATACTATCTTTGAAGGTCTTTCAATTCGGATAGAAATAGGATTTTCAAAAAGAAAAGTTTTATTAATTTCAAACTCCTTAATCTTATCTTTTCAGAAGGAATAATTAAGATCTTTTGGAAACTTATAGAAGCTTCCAATTAATCCTAATTGGTTTAGGAATGGGATTAAATAATTTGGACCCTCCACATGATCGTCGGGTCTTAGGTAAGGTAGGATTAGGTTCCGTTTGGGCTCAGTTTAATATTTTGGCCATAACCTATTCGTTATAACCCGAATTTGGGCTTATAATATATCGTTGGAAAGCTCTTTTCAAACCTCATCCAACTATTTAATCATTGTACCCAGATTATGGACCAAAATAAAATGGACTAAACGTTTTTATAAAAAGGACAAGCAATGATTGATATTAAAGGACACTAAATGAATTATTTTGGGTTTAAAGGCACGAAAAGAGGAAAATAAGTTATGGTTTGGGAAAATGGGATTGGAATTGGTTTGTTTATGAAATGGAAATATGAATTTAAGTACTCCAAGATTAAATACTGAACCCGACCAATAACGGCGGTGAAAGGTTGTTCATCATCGGGTTTGGTTTTGGGGAGACATTTTTAGGTGTCTACAGACTTGAACATACTTAATTGTATGATCACAATGGGGCTTAAGTGTGGGATGCTTGAAATATTCCCTACAGCTTTGTTGATTGTGTGTTTTCATGTGTTGTTTGGCCTTGTCTTTACCTTGGCCCTGCGACGACCCATTCCTAATGGCGAGTAGTGGGGACAAGTAGAGACAAGGTTTTCAGGTGATGAAGCATATTCATGATAGGCATGAGTGAAGAGCGAATCATGCTTAGTTCTCATAGGAATATGATGTGTTTTATTGCTTTATTAATTATTTATTTATCGTGCTTGCAAACTAATGCAAAGGTTTAAATATTTTCATGGTTTTAATAAAGGTCTACAATGGTTCCAAGTTGTAGGTTGTTTTTGTTTGATTTCGTTTAACTTTGGTTTTTACTTTACTTTCGTAGGGTCTTGACTTTGAAGTTTACTTGTTTTGAATAGTTTTTAAAAATAGTCTTCCGCTGTGTGTCTTTGATAATTGCTTTGGCCATTTTGACCGTGGCAATAATGTCTTAGATTTTCCTAATTCGCATTTTTAAATAGCAAAACAGATATTTTAAAAGAAAGGAATTTCTAGAGTTTTACACATCTCCTCCCGCCGGTGACCCTTTCCCTTTCTCCCTCGCCCTTCTTCCTCCTTTACCTCACAACAAACACAATCCCTCAACTCAACCCAAAACACCGACCACCCTCATTCCTCTCTTAAACCACCACGAAATAGCCACCACTCCCTTTCCTCCACCTCAGAACCGACACCCCTTGCTGTTTCGGATTACGGGAAGGGAGTTGGGGATTGTTTTAGGTGGGGTAAGGAAGGAGGAGGGATGTCTGGTGGTTAGGGTTTCGAGAAAGAAGGTGGATGCGACAGAGGTCAAGGAAAGGGGAGAGTTTTTGGTGGTTAAGGTGGGTGGTCGGACGATGTTCAGCGAGATTAAGGGACGGGTTAAGGTTTGGCGGTGGAAGAAAAGTGGCTCGGGATTTTGGGAATTTTGGTTTTTATTTTATTTTATTTTTTTTGTTTTAATTTAAATATTTTAGTTTTAGTTTTAGTTTTTATTTTAATGTTTTTTTAAAATAAATAAATAAATAAATAAATATATATACATATATATATATATATATATATATATATATATATATATATATATATATATATATACACGATTATTTTCACTTTAGTTTAGCTCTTATAAGTTCAGTTCAGTTCGGTTCGGTTCAGTCAATCAGAACAGGCCCTTAGTGCAACGTGGCTATTAAAACACAAAAAAATAAATAAATAAATAAAACTCATTTAGCATGTTTCCACCCATGAGGACCATTGGAGGCAAACGCATACTCCCTTCATGTTTTTGTAAGTGTTACAGTTTGACCGATACATAATTTTATGCAATTTAATTGACTTAAATAAAATAATAGGTAAGTGGGGTAGTTGGTGTATTAAAAAATTGTAAAAGAAAGATAGTGGGGTTAATAGTTTATTGAAAAGTTATGAATGTGAGTGTGAGAGGAAAGATATAATAGAAAAATAGTTGTGGGTTTGGGTTGGGACCATGAGAGGAGGGAAATATAATATTTTAATATAGCTTTTTGCCAAAAAAGAAAGTGTAACACTTAAAAAACAGGGCCGAAAATGAAGTGTAACACTTAAAAAATCACGGAGGGAGTAGCATAATTGGGAATCCTTGGGATTATGCAAAAATAAACCTTAGTTGATAAATAAATCACCCGAAATTATTAAAGTATATTTTTCCTATCACAAAAAAAAAAAAAAAAAAAAAAAAAAAAAAAAAAAACCACCTTTAAATTTACGACAAATTTTCCTTTGCCAAATTAATATATTATATTGTCCAAATTATCTTGTATCTCCTAGTTTTAATTTAAATCAATATCAAATAATAATTGTAGCCTTAAAAATGTTTATCAATAGAAATATTTTATATAACAGAATTTTACATATCTTTACAACCCTTAAAAATTACCATTAGGGTTGTAGGGTCTATACTATTATAAAGAAACGAAAATTAGAGGGTTTTGTCTCATAAAATCATACTGCAGGCCTGCAGGGTAGGCAAGTTGGTGTGGGCTTCGTGGTGCTTGGTAGGGCATAAGAAATAGGAAGCAAATTAAGCAAAAGTACAAAGTATACAATTGTTCAAACAAACCTCATCCTTTTGTTTTTTTTTATACAATATTTATATTAAAATTTAAATAGCAGATATTTCAATTTCTTTTATCATGGCAAGACCGAGCGAGATACTTTCCCTAATACTAAATATAATATTGCGTTAAGAAGAAGAAAATAGACTTACATTTTACAGAAGTTCCATGTTCTACACAATACCAAAAAAATGAACAATAGAACCCTTGGAGCTTGCATCATGCAGCAAATATGGAAGCTATGCATGTGTCCCCATATAGAGAAAAGCTGGTTATCAAAATATGTTACCGCCACCAGTTCACCACCATCCTCACAAGGAGACAAACTGTGTTATAGGCAAAGCTGATTACATTCCGCCGCCACCATTACACCATCTTCATAAGGAGGCACTTTTGGTAATCAGAGATCATTCTTTTGTCTTTTCAGCTTTCTTGTAAAAATAATCCAATTGCCGCTCCAACTGCAAAAAATAAAGACATCCTATGACAATTGTTTTATGTGAAAATGTCTCCAATTACACGTGAAACCATTACCCAGCCAATTGACACCACCCTGCGTCCACTTTCCTATTAAACATTTTAGACATTCTTAGTGCATCGAATCTTACACATTAATATTGAAACTACATAAATTAAAAAGTAAAAGAGAAAGAATAAACAAATACTACCTCCGTTTCTTTTTAGTTGACACGTATTCCTTTTTAAGAAGTTTTTTTTTAGTTGACACGTTTCCTTTTAGGGTAACTTTTTTACCTTGCATTTACAAGCTACCCCACTAGCTTTTTCATTCTGTCTCACTCTCTCTCCTCTCCTTAATATGTGCCTAAATCAAACACGTCAACTAAATAGAAACGGAGGAAGTACTTAAATAAAAATATATAAAACAGAAACAGAGATCAGCATTAGATTCTGCATTCTACCAGTTGAAAGCATCCATAGTAGGTAGGGAAAACAGAAATGAAAGACAATGGAAATGAAAGTAGAAGCCTCTGCTTGCTACACTGAAAAATAGCTTTCCCTTTGAATGCTTAACAGTTTGGATAATCACTTGTGGCAACATGGGTCAACAAGAATCATAATTGTGAGTTAAATTATGTGACTCAGCACTCAGCAGGGTGAAATTTTGAATAAAGCAGTGTTGAATGTTTGATTATACTACAAGCTAAGTTGGAAAAAAAAAAGAACATGTACAAAATTGTTTGACTTTAATCTCTCTATTACCAGCTTCAAAAATGAAACTTAAGAACCCAACTTACCTGAGCATTCTTTAATTTTTGTCTTTGCAGCTCATCTACCAGGCTCCCGATTCTGTCACGTAACCGAAAGAAGTTAGAACAATTACAATTCAGTCACATAACTAAAGTTCGATTACTAGACTTATTTCTAAGAAATTTGGAGCACATGTGTGGGTGTAAGAAAAAAGGTGGATGAAGTAAAAGAGAGTGAAAGCAAAGGTATTAATATTGTGGGGTAAAGGGTGCACAATGGGTGATAAGAATTTGCCAAAAATAGATTTATAGTAAAAGTGAATCGTGTAATATATAAACAATGTGTCTAACATTGCTGCCAATAAGGCCTATGCAAACCTCCCTTTACAAAAGCAATGTTAACAAAACTCACAATCTACAATCTTTTCAATTGCTTTCTATCAGGTTTCAATCCAATGATATTTTACATCGCAACTGTGCCTTCGATGGGTCTACAATTCTTGAAATTGTTTTAACATATTTTGAATAACTTTGAGATTTATTGATTGGTTTTTTTTCTATTGGATTTATGCATGATATATAGTTCTGGATTTTGAATTTTATTCAATTTGACTTTATCATTCTTAGTTAGTGATTTGCATTAAATGTAGGAGTAATATATAAACAAAATGTATCGTTTTGGTGCTTAGAGGGAGTTATTGCATACATTCTAGGAAGGTGAAGTAGGTATTTTAAGACACACCTACACGGTGGTCAGAAGTTTTGTTTATAAGTTTTTTAGCTAGTTTATTCTATAACTAGAAGTTTTGCTTGCAAGTTTTTTACCTTTCATTTGAAATAATTAGTTATGTTTTAATTTATGTCATTTTAGTTGGGTCATGTTTCCTTAATTTATTAGGATTTGTTTTAGGAAATAAAGACCAAGGTCAATCTGTGTTTGTAACTAGTTTCCAAATCCAAGTAGAATTAGTTATCCCATTCTATTTAGATTACTTGGACCTAAAGGCTAGAGGCTTGTCCTAGTCCTAATAGGTTTATTATTAGCTATAAATACTCTTGTAACATGTTCATACCGATTTATTCAATTACTTTGTTTAGCTGTTGTTTAAACTTTCTTAGCTAATAATCAATTCAAGGAGCTGTTGAAGATTAGAAAGATCAAGGAGTTAGTCTACATTATTGCACATCAAATACTTAGTTCTAGAAGGAAGTAAAGTAACTTGATCCTCAACCCTTAAAAGGTTTGAGCTTGCTCTCTTATGAACAGTACTCAAACATGAGAATCGCATGTGTGAGAGCAACGCTGACATGGCAAATTACCATTTGTCTTTTTTTTTAATGTTTGATGATATCGAAAATACCACCTGTCTTTTTCTACATTTGCTTTCTCTCTCCTCTCTTTCATGATTCGGGCAAAAATGCTTTCGACCTTCCACTTTTTTTCCCCTCTTTTCTGATGTGTTGTGTTTTACCCAGATGATTGCAAAAACTAACTGCAACTCCAATTCATCCTACCATGCGTTGCCAAGAATGGATATACTCATGTACGACAATTTTATTAATTAAAAAAAACAAATTATGGTTTTAAATGGCGAGAGGCAGCATGTGAGCCTTTTCTCTTCCAATGAAGCAGCATATGAGCTATCTGCCTATCTCTCCTCCATTGAATCAGCGTATGAGGTAAAGATTTTTTTAATTTTATTCATCGAAATTAATTTCACAACCCAATTTTTGTTTCAGAATACTTTGATTTGAGCTTTAACTTAAGCTCTTTTTTGTTATATGATTGCTAATTTCCCAATGGAAATCTGGTTCAATTCAAGTTTTTCTTGTTAATTTTGTTATTCAATGTTTAAAGGTTTGTGTATAATTTGCTATTGACATTTTGGGATTAAGTGTGTAAATTGGGGAATTTTTCATAAAATTCTAGGGTTGATGTTAGTATGGGTTCTATTAGCCACTACAAAAACAATCCAGTTTTTTTATTTATTTTTTATTTCTTTTTTATTTCAAATTCAATTTCTAAGTTGTGTTGCTCAATTTTGTCGTTCCTCTATTAAAAAATAAAAACCATGTAATCAATGTTCAATATCCTGATAATTTTTTGGAAATTTTAGAAGGCTACTTACAGTTGCAATGTTGATGCTTATTTCACAGTCGACTACTCCATTTGTAGCGAGGAGACCTTTTGTAGATGTAGATACGATGACAATTGGTGTGCGACATCTTCATATCTTTTTTTTTTTTTTTTTTATATATATATATTTTTTTATTTTAACCTAAATCAGTTAGGTTTTGCTGTTTTAGAGTTGTCCAGCCATCTCTAGTCCTTACCCATTTTAGTTATTTGGTTTTAAGATGTATAATCATTTCATTTTATTTTTTTTACTCTCATTTTAAGATTTTTTTGTCTTTTTGAGTGATTTTTTGTACACTCATCTCTTATTTGCAATCAAAAGGTAACTCGCTTTCTCTGTCCTCTAGAGTCTCACGCATCTTGTGATCCTAGCAAGGCTCTAATTGACTATTTCGTATTAACAATAATGAGGTACCTCGAACTGGATTTTCTATCTTAAATGATTTTTGGGATTCATAAATTATGTGTCTACTAATTATTTCTTTCATCTGATAAATTTTTTTAATGATTTTTTGAAATTTTCAGTTTTCCCATAAACGTTTGATTTTTGGGTTTGTTGATCTTGTTGTTTACGTTTGATTTTTGGGTTTGTTGATCTTGTTGTTTCTAAGTTTAATTTTGTGGGGGAAGGAAGATCAATGGAGACAAATAGAGATTGAAACCTTGAAAATTAATATATACACAATTTGGGTTTTCTTTTGAAATTTAGCATGTTAGATTACTTCCTGTTTTTGTTTATTATGATTTTTTTTTTTTTTTTTTTTTGGAATACCAGTTTATTAACTATATGTTTTCAATTTTTGTTTGAAATCTGCTTTAATTAAAATGTTTCTTGCTGATTTTATGATTAACTATTAGAATTAAAGGCTTATCTAATTTTATATTAACGTTTGGGCATTTAGGGTCTCGGACTTGTAAAATCCAAAGCTCATTAATGCTACTTGACTTGGCCCTATTGTCACATTAGAGTAATTTGGTGATGGAGAAGCTGGGACACGCCAGTAGGGATATCACCACACATTGAAAACCTCAGCATACAAGAGCAAATTAAAAGAGAAGGAGATATAAGAGGAAATTAAAAAAATTAAAATTGAAATGTTGGCCCTTTTTTTTTAATAATTAGGTGATTTGGGGTTCATATTCTTAGGGATTTGAGATTTTTATTTGAAATTATTGAGTTAAGAAGGAATCTGAATTGTCACTTTGCACACTACTTATTTGGATAATTTATGGTTAGGGTTCAAAATTATATATAATTGAATTAACAAGAAAGACTATCTACTTCTTTTTCAATGGTTTGCAATAAAAGCACTTACTATGCCAAGTAGGTCACTGTTATGTTTTTCTGAAGCTTTGGTGGTTTTACAGGTAATTGAATATTACTTCAGTGATAAAAAATCTCCTAATGAGATGAAGAAAGACAAAGACGGTTTTGGTAAGTGTTAATAATTATTGCTCTCGACCATTTTTCTGTAGTCTGATAATGAAGAAAGACAAATTCTGATGCTGCTACATGATGATGCCCTCTTTTTGCTTAATGTTATATTCCTCATTCTGATTTGTGAATCTGCAAGGGACTATAATACATTTATACTTCTATTAAAAAAATTCATTCGATTAAGCTGTCTCAGCTATAAATTTGCAAGGATTGAGATGTTAAATGACGAAACTATACAGGTACTTGTGATAGACCACCTTTCCTGGATGTTTCTCCTGGCGCACCCAAATCATTTGTGGTTGCGCCGAGCTTCTTGGGTGGGTGTCCAGTTTGAATGAACTAGAATTATTTGCTATCTGGTTTCATCTCTGCTTTTGTATGCTGAGGTCCATTAAGTAATAACAATTTTATTTAGTTGAGTATGGGATTTGTGCTTTTGTATAAGAGGAAACTGTGAGATCTTCCAAGAGGAGATATCAAAGGCTGGAGAAGCTAGGAATAAAAGAAAAAATGTGGAAGGTGCTCGCCCAAGACTCAGAAAAGGGACCAAGGAGCTTTGTGAAACCAATAATTATTTGTTGCTTTTGAATTTGTTGAATTGCCATCCACCTTGGCTTTTTTGTGCTCATTTGTGTTTATTCACTTTACAGATCGGGGAGGCTGGAGTTAGGCGTAGTACAAGGATAAGAATGAGACAATTAGAGTAATAGAGAGGTGAATGGTTTTTTATGGACGTGTTCATCAAAGTAAGTTTCCATATTCACCATACAATGAATCAAGTTCATCAAAATGGCATACCAGTATTTACTTGCTTTGCAAATAATACTGGCGCTGTAAGTCGGATTGAAACTTGTCAACATGGAAGTTTTAAAATGATCAGTTAAAAATTTACAATTTTATTTCCTCTTACTAAGTGAAGATCCAAAATTCTATGCTGAGCTTTGTATTCATTAATGATTTCAACTTTTAAGTATTGTTATAAAGCCTGATTGTTCACAATTGATTAGAGTTTCTGCTGGTCCCTATTACCCCTATTTTTTCACATACATTCTAATTATATCTGCACGTTATAGACATTCTTCTATAAAAACTCTTGTCTAATTCCTGAAGTGGTTTTGCAGGTCTAGTGACTATGATCAGAGTGAAGTACGCCTCTCCATCAAAGAATACAGAAGAACCAGGAGTCAAGGTGAAGTCTTTTGTTTCTGATGAATACAAAGATCTACTTGAGTTGGCCTCATTACACTAAAGTAGCCGGAAAATGCTAAAGTTGTATTATTTGTAATGTAATTTACGAACTTCTGTCTATTGATCTCTAATAGAGATGATACAGTTTGCTTCCATTTGACTCTCACTACTCTTTGCAACTCTTAATTAGCTATTGTGTATAGTGCTATGAACTTGTGTTATTGTGTATATAAATATTGACAAATGAACTATATGGGATATCAACAATATAGCACCCATAACATAGTCATAATAAAACCGTAAACCCAATCTTTAAAATAGTTACACATTTCTGTTACCATACGCATTTATGAAGGTAGTTGGAGAATGTTTGATGTTTTGATTGGTAAATTATATACTCCCTTGTCCTTCTATTATTAAAGACATGTTTCTAATATTTATTACTCACATAACAAAGAGAATTTGATCTCTAATAAAAGGACGGAGGGAGTACTATGTATATGTGTTTGATTTAGTGGAACTTTGCTGAAGTTTATGCATCTAAAAGCCGAATCATATTATGCAATTTTGTAGTGTAGTAGTAGTTTGAATGTGTAGACAGTATTCGGATTAAATTATGCCCATTGTGGAATGTGATGGATAACTTGGATATTTTTCTGTATCGCCTTATTGAATTGCCTTATTTTTATTTTATTTTACAATCTTGTCTAAATAAATGTTCTCTATCAAGTAACTTAATGTTTTCATAATACGTGTGATATTGACTAGGAACATTATTTTGAGCTTAAATATTTTGTTTTTTGGTTAATCACTTATAATACTATGAGCTTGTGTTATTGTGTGAAAAATCTTTACAAACGAACTAATATGAGATATCAACAATATAAGTATATAACACCCCATAACATAATCATAATAAAGTCGTAAACCCAATCTCTAGAATAGCTACACATTTATGCAAACTGATCCGCGCGCATCACGCGCTAAAAAAACCCTAGGAGGATTAAAGTTTGTTCTAGGAGGTACATCAAATACTTAGTTCAAGGAGGTAGTATAAGTAATTTTCATTTGATTTTTAGAGTTTATAATAAGATTTTTATTAGAGTTTCGTAGTTGATTAAAAGATCGTTTTTGCTTCGTCCTACTTTTAGATTATACATTTCACACAGTATTGCAACCAATTAATTTTCTACTTTGGGTCAATCCGTAAAAAAAATGTTGTTTACATAATTTTTTTTTTAAATTGGTACTTAATTTAAGTTTATCAAAATTAGGAAATTTGTGCAAGTGATCTATTAATTATTTTTGCAATTCTTCTTTGTGTTAATCTAAATCTTACATTCTTTACAATTTTGTTGCTGATTATTTGATTGTTTAAGTTTGTGTTTATAGGAAATTATAATTCTTTAGTGTTTTACAATTGATTAGTTAATTGATTATTAATTAAGTTGGTCTATAAATGAATAAATGTCACTACACACTAAAATTCTAATTTTTAATGCATGACACTTGTCTTTGATTTTTATTTTAGTTAAACACTTTTGTTTGTTACATATCACATATTTTTGAGTAAAATCTAGCTTTAATTAGTATAATACAACATCGATAAGTAAAAACAAGTGTAATTTAGTAATTGCATTGGATACAAACATCAATAAATTAGCTAAAAAAATGACAAGTGAAAACAAGTTTTTAACAGCCAAAAGTTTTGAATGGTAAAACCAATTAATAAGAAATAAAAAAAAATATCAATTTTCATTGAAAAAATTTGTACCATTGTTCTCTATTTATTTACTTAATTTATGAGATATAAATTTGTTTTTGGCGTTGCAAGCCTATTAGTTTAATTTGTCGAGCATAGTATAGTCACGGGATGTAAGTTAGAATATTACATAGGCTTAGATTACATATAGTAATAATTTTTAACATGTAGTGATCTATTTAAATTGATATAGTTACCTTTTTCTAAAAAATAAAAATAAAAAAAAGACCTCTATTGCATAGTCATCAATGATATATGCAACATTTACGTAAATGTTGTAGAAATTGATAGTTGCCTTATTTTTGTATATAGTGAATTTTATGTAAAAGTTGTAAAAATTGATATAGTATTATAGTTACATTAGTTTTGTATTTAGTGACCTCTAAGTAAATGTTATCAAATTTGATAAAGTTACCTATTTTGTACTCCTTCCGTTTTTAAATACTTGCACCACTTTACATTTCCGGCCGTTTTTAAATACCTGATCTATTTCCTTATTGGGAAAACTTTTACAATATTTAATTCATTTATCTCAAATAGTGGACCCAACATAATCGTATTCTCTTGATTTCATATTCTCTTTCCTTCAATTATCTCCACTACTTTTGCCTTTTACAATTTTTTATTCTTCCAAGTACCTCACTAATTCCATATTTTATCTCCTAAAACTCCGCACATGGAGAAATGGAGTAAGTATTTAAAAACGGAGGGAGCATATAGTGACCTTTTAAACAATTGAATAGATATAATGGAAAGTTGGAAAGATCTTTCGGTTTTTAAGCTGTGAGATCTTTTGTATTAATAATGAACGCTTGAGATTAGTTGTTTTTAGTTTTAACATAAGTCTAGCTGACACGTTTTTTTAGTCTGGTTTGCCAATGCACAAATTAAACCATTAAGAAATTTAATTACTGATATTATAAATTTATAAAAAGTTGGAAAATTTGTCGGAAAAAAAAAACTTTTAAATACCTCATTTTGCAAGAAAAAACCTTTAAAATGGATCTTTGTTAAAAAAAAAAAAAACCACCACGATCACTTTTTTGTTCGATGAAACTTCCCCTCCCTTTTCCGGCATTGGCTTAGCTTTTCTGACCCTTTATTTTCTTTATTAACACCTAAGTAAATTTATATTTGCACTCCTTCATTTTATTTTCCCATCTCTCTCTCCACTTCTTCATTAATTGAGCAACAATTATGTGAGGTAAGTGTAAATTCATGAAATCATTGTTGTAAATAGTATCAAAATTGGGGTTTTTTTAAACACATCCACAGCTCACCATTATATTGATTCTACAAAATTGGACAAAAATAAGGAATTCTTAGAGAGATGAAGAAAGATAATTGACTACTAAAATGGTAAAAGAAAAAGAATTGACAACTACAAAGGTGAAAGAAAGAGAATTGAAACCCTAATATTTACCTTCCAATTAAAAGAGTTGGGTGTTTTGCCTCAATCAACCATTCAATGTATATACCCTAAAAAAATAGAGGGAAAATTGGGAGCCAAAAAAAAGAAAAAATTACCCTAGACTTGGTTCTAAGTAAAGAAAATAAAGGGGTCAACGCCGAAAAAGCTAAGTCAATGTCGGAAATGGGAGGGGAGGTTTCATTTAACAAAAATAAATAATCGTGGTGGTTTTTTTTTAACAATGATCCTTTTAAAAGGTTTTTTCTTGCAAAACGAGTCATTTAAAAGGTTTTTTTCTAACAAATTTTCCTAAAAAGTTTGATATTTTAAGCATATACTCCCTCCGTTTTTAAATACTTGCTCCACTTTCCTTTTTCATCTGTTTTTAAATACTTACTCCATTTCCTTATTTGGAAAACTTTTACAATGTAAAATTAATTTCTCTCACCTAGTAGAACCACCCAATGATGCACCCGAAACGTATCGGGGACGGGTACGCTACGGGGACGGCTAGGATACGTCCCCAATCCGTCCCCATCAAAAGTGGTACGACACGTCATTTAGGGGACGACTAGGGTCATGATCGGAAACGTTTAGAGTACGGGAAATCCCAAATTCTGTCGTACCCAAGAAGCCCAACCCAATTTTTTTTAAAAAAAAATACTTAAATCAGAACAAAACTTACCTCAAAGTCGATTTCCCCCAATTCTAAAAACCCTAAAATTTTGAACTCCTTCATCTTCTTCTTCCCTGTGCGATTTGATTGACGGTGGCGACCGGAGACTCACCTGCGAGGCTGCGACAGTCGACGCTTGGTTCAAGGCGGCGCCGAAGACCCACCTTCTTTCTTGAGTACAGATTTTTGTTGTCCTTTCTTGCGACAATTTTTGGAGTTGTTCTGACTCTCTTCTTTCTGTCTTTCTTTCTTTTAGGAGTTATTGAGTTTTGTTTTCTATTTTAATTGTTTTTATGTATAGTTGATATTATAGTGAATTGTAGTGACATTAATTGAGAATGTCAATAGGTGATTTTTTTTTTTTTACATTGTACAGTTGAATGGAGTCTCAAAATTTACCGCTTTTATTTATGTTCTTAAGAATTTTAGCAGTTTAAGACATTAAATTCCGTAATATTTCTTCTAAGTTGTGTTGTATGGATTTTTTTTTAATGGATTTATATTTTGCTGATTTTTTTTTTGCCGTATCCGAGCTGTAACCGTTTTTTGAAAAAAAAAAAATTTGTCGTATCCCGTCCCCGTACCCGTTTTTGTTCCCGTATCCGTATCAGTGCAACCTAGGAACCACCATTATCACATTTTCATTTTCATATTCTCTCTCCTCTAATTCTCTCCACTATCTTTGCTTTTTTACAATTTTTTATTCTTCCACCTACCCACTACCTCCATATTTTATTAAATTCTTCAATTTCTCCTAAAACTCCGTGCATGGAAAAATGGAGCAAGTATTTAAAAACGGAGGGAGTATATCATGCCGAATCTAACAAGATCTAACCTGACCATATTTTTCATGACGTATAAATCACAAAATACGGTCAAAGGAAAATGTGTGAATAGTACTAAAGTTAAAAGACGTCTACTAAAATAACGGAGGTAATATAATATACCTTTGTTGTAATTGCATAACTTGAGACAAAAGTTCACCCTCTGTAGTAGAGACCGGCAATGTCTGACAAGAACAACATAAAGTATCTTAGTGTTAGATAATAACTGAATAATTATGTTTAAAAATTATGTTCTCAAAGTGCTACATAAAGTCACTTTAGAACCCTATTTTTCCAACAAAAGGTTGTCATGACCTAGCTGTGAACAGCCAGAACACACTCCTTATTGGCAATGTAAGAAAATTTTCCGCATTCTTGATTCATCTTACAACTATTGTTACATAGATGTCATAACCAGCCCATCCCCCCCCCTCCTATTCCTTAATCAGTAAGAAACGATGAAACATATTAATTTAAAACTGAAACAAGAACATCATATGTCCATACTATTGTAAATTATGATTATATTGTACAAACAGTATTTGAATTATTTTTTGTTTCAAAAAGTTTCGTAATAAAAACTGATTTAATTCTATATTTGTACTTGCTTTGTCCTACATACAATCCCCAAACACAATGCTTTGCGAATTTCTTTATTGAAAAAACCCTAAAACCTCATGATAATGGCTAAATGTTGTGAGGAAAAAAAAGGATTTAAGAAAAATAAACCTTGTAGTAGATGAAGGAAGATTGCATAGGTAAGGTCTACTTCAAATGAGAGGTGTGCTTAGACCTTAGGCCTTCTTAAAACAGTTTGTGATCAATTATTTTTTTTTCTTAAGATTTTTGTCGAATTATTAAACATCTAAAATTTGTCCTTCCCCCCCCCCCTCTCCCCCATCTGCCACTGGGTGGAGGTTGCTTTGGAAGTGGTCATAGTGATATGCACTAAAGGTTATAATGGTGGGGACAAAGGATGGAGTATCGGAGAAGCCTTCCTAATTCATACGTGGCCTTGTAGAAAATCCTAGATGTTACTTAGGGAAATTGGTAAAAGGGATGCATGTGGGTCTATCCTTAATGAGACAACCTATGTCTAATTAACCTACTTCTCAAGATCCAAACATCCACTCCTTGTTCAGTCTACCCAACCAATGCAACATAACCTTTCGATACCTTCATCCAACGTTACTTGGACTCGTCGTTAAGTGTCGTGTCCGACTAAATTTTGGTCGACACTTCGATACGGTCAAGGGAATGTCTTGACTAATATTTAGGATACGACTGTTGTATAAAGTGTCCAAACAATTTAATCCGACACTTAAAAATAAAAAATAGCTAAAAATCATAAAAACTAATAGCAAAAATTGACAGGTTTATTATGACCTTAGCTCGGTCTGCCATAAATAAAACCACCTTTTGATAATCCCCCAATAAAACGACCATTCTACATGATCTCCAAAAATGGGGGGAAACCGGTTGGTAACCGAATTAATGAGTTAGTATGACACTTGTCCCTTTGTAGTTGGTTAGTTGGTTTTTTTCCTATTTAAAAAAGCGATTTTAAATAAATTTATTTTAATATTAAAAAAAAATACCTAACAAACTAACATAACCGCCCAACCCCCATCTCGTGAACCCCCACATATCCCCACAAATCACCGCACTAACAACCGCCGATACCGCCGCCGTACATTCTCTTCTTCCCTGAACCGCACTCTCCACTCACCACCTTATGCCGCAAACTCCACCTCTTTCACCTAAACTCTGTCCTCTCTCTCTCCTCACCAACACACTTATCACTGACATGACGACCCACCATACATCCACCGCGAATCCCCATCACAACCACCGTAATCACCACTGATAACAATCACGCACCGACTTATTCACCATATTCAACCATAAAAGAAATTTGTTGCTCCTGTGTTCGCAATTCACCAAATTCAACCCCAAAAGAAATGTGGTGTTGCTTTGAATCTCTGAAATTTTGCTCTTTTTCGGTCTTTTTTTTCCATTAAGATTTGTGGGTGTGGGGGATTTTGTTGTCGTTGGTGGTGGCGCATTTGTTAGATAGAGGACGGGGAAAAGAAAGGGGGAGGGGTGCGGTGGTTAGAATTTAAAGGAGGAGGGGTTTTTTTTAATTAATTTTTTTATAAATTAATTAATTTTTGAAAAAAGAAATATGTAAATATTGAAATAAAAAAGCTAACCCATCAAAATATAACAAGTGTCCTTCCTTAACCTACTAATCGGGTGAATAGTTTTTTATCCTATTTATGGAAGATCATGTGCAAAGGTCGTTTTATTGGGGGATTATCAAAAGGTGGTTTTATTCTCGGTCATAATATTCCTGTCAATTTTTCCAAACTAATAAAAGTAGTACATAGTGTCATACAAGTACTCTAGTACATAAGCTGTAAGAAGATATAATAATCACATGGTACTAAGTAAAAGTATAAAAGTAAAGGTGGGTCCAAAAGTCAAAAGAATTTGTGAGGACATGGATAAAGTATAATATTTTAAAGAACAACCACATGACCACACAGCTGTCCCACACTCACACCTCATCAATCTTTCACCTTCTCCCACTTTCCCTTTCTAATTCTTTATCATGTAGTCTTCTCTTTCTATCTTCTCTCTCCTCCATTAATTTAGATGCATGCAAAGTTCAAACTTAGTCCCCTCTTTCTGAAATCGACACCCATTTCAGACACTTTTCCGATCCCCGAGTCGACACTTTCCCGGAGTTGTGCCTAAGGGCTCGTGTCGTGCATCGTGTTGTGTTGACATGCGACACCCATGAGCAAGGAAGGTGTCAGAGTAACAGTCTACAGACTTACCACTCCAATGCCAAGCAACTCCGAGCTATTCAACTAATGGAATGATGAACAATGTTATCAACGCTTAGATGAAGGTGGTTACAAACCAACTTACTCTGTGTTTGGATAAATAAAGGGGAAGGAAAAGAAGGGGAGGGAAAGGGAGGGGAAGGAAGAATGGTGAGTTTTCCTTACAGATCTCTCCGTGTTGGAGGGATAAATTTCTTGCAATTTAATCCCTCCATTTCTCTCCCCTCCAATTCCCTTCCTTCCTCATTTGTTATCCAAATGAAAGATATTTCATCTCTCCATTTCCCTTTCCTTCCTTTCCCTCCATTTCAATCCAAACACACCATTAAGGATAAGATAAGGTGGAAGTTTAGGAGGATGGTAATGTAATAATAGCCATGCTTATTGGAGGGCAATTGTAAGCAATGCATACAGTTTTACCGGTTAGAATTAGTTTGAAAAGGAAAAAAGCAAGTACGTTAGACAGAATAGTGCTAGATAAAGAGGAGATCAGTGAGAAGAAAAACGGGAGGATGAATATTATAGCGCATTTTCATTAGTGATTATAAGAGAATCAAGACTCTCAAAAGCTTGAGTATCCAATATAATATTTTTATAGTTTGTAATTTCAAATTATAAATCCTCACAACTTTTCCTATAATTCAAGTCCAGTTATGCTAGTTCTTAACAAGTTGCTAAATTTCAATATGCTCAGGTGGATTAGATACTTCTTAACATGATTATCAGAAGTGAGCCTACAACAAAGTGAAAATAAAGAAAAATTTAGAGAAATAAAATCAAAAAAATTGCATTTTATTTTTTACTAGTTCTTCCCCCTTCTTTAGACAATCAAGTGGAATAATTATCAGTATAGTAGATACTATACACAGAATAGTAGATACTATACACAGATAATTGTATAGTTAGTACTTTGTACAATGGTACCTGTGAAATGCCATTACTCGTTGCATCAGCAGACTCACAGATGTTGCCTGCATAACAAGAGAAAATTGTGAGGTCCACTACAAAACAATGGAAACAAAAAAGGAGTTCAAATTAAACAGAAAAGAACAGTATTACCTAGCTCCACATGCTTAATTAATTTGATTAATTCATCCTGTAAAGAAAAAATACATATTATAACCATAACAAATACCTCCTACCTAAATGCTACCTTTTCAAAATTAGTATATACGAACCCTTTGCAAATTGTTCTGCTGCAAAACATACTGCAAGGTTGGAAGGATTGTACTAGCAGAAAGGTATGGAGGCATGAGCCCAGCTGTGCTCCCAGAGCTTAGGCAAATCTGGCCCTGAAGATATTTAAAATGCAATGTTATAAACTCATGCCTACAAGATAACTTACTTAGCTCAACTCTTTAGAATAATGATGATACACAAAGGAGCAACTTTAAACAACAAGTGTTAGCAACTCAATGAAAAATCACTCCCTCTATTCTTCTATATTCTACTCAATTGCTATAACATACAACATTTAAGATAATATTGAAAAAGGTGAGTACGGACTAGGTAGGATAAAACAAGAGATAAAATCTTAAAAGGTGGGTGGGTATAAGGATAAGAAGAATAAAGTAAGAGGCAGAGAGTTGAAAGGTGAATTTACTGAGGTAAAAAGGGTATGATGGTAAAAGGAACAAGCCTAAAATAGAATAAAGCAGAGTAGAACAAATAAGAACACATTAAAATGGAAAGTGAGTTGAACAAATATGAATGGAGCATTATCAACTAAAGATTTCATACAGTGATGACCCAAAGTTCTCGCTCTGATAATGTGCATGTTTTATTGACACAAAGACATCATATTCAAATGCTTGCTTGACAATGTTGCAAGTTAATCCTTACCCGACACTTCAATCCTTACTTAGACACTATTTGAACCACATAACCATAGAAGAAAAGGTAGAATTAAAAGGAAGAGAAAAATAGGTGCAAGAAATAGGCTTCCAATAAGCATTTTAACAATCAAGTCAGCCTAAAAACTGTGTTTTATGTAATTCTACAATAGAATTCATGCTAAATGACTTTACAGGAATATGTTCTACTTATGCAAAGTCCCCAAATTTTTATCCAAATTTAGGACGATGACCCTATTTTTGAAATTTCTGACCTTGACGTGTCACGTACGTGGATATGGACCTGATCTTGCACTTGTGGACTTGTGTCTGAGTAACATAGCTATCGAGTATAGCTATCTAGTATATCTACGTGAACTCCAAATGTGTTTGCAGAATAAGAAAAGGAATACATAAAAATTCCAATCCAATTTCAGTCCTGACCTTGGGTGCTTTAACATAAGTTCATACAAAGGATAAAAAAAATTTACTAGAAAAAACAAAAAATACAAAAAAGAAGGTACACCTTCTGGCTGACATCAGCTGATGTAACTTGAAAACGACCTTTGCGCTTAACAACAGCCCCTTCTGAAGAATCCTCCACTGCAATAACAAGGAAGAAAAAAGAGAAGAGAGACTTGTTTCACAAAGAAAAGAAAGATTAAAAAAAATAAAATTAAAAATTTTGATGCATCAGATTTGGCAAATAAGAAACCTAATGTATTGTTATTTGTATCTCTCCTTTGACGATATGAGATTGGGCCGCTGTAATTTCTATCAGCGGGATGCCTTGGTTGCATGTTGTCCCTGTGATAGAAATTCAAATGAATCATAATAACAATTGAGAATTCTTATTATGCCACAACTTTTGAAAAAAACCATTTTACCAATTGCATTCCTTCCAAAAACTCCTTATGTACCCTGACATATCAAATTCTGGATACTACCGAAATACAATTTTAATTATTCTTGACACTATGTTTGGATAGAGAGAAATGGAGGGAAAGGAAGAGAAGAGAAAAGGAGGGATGCATTATTTTTTGTTCGGATACCTAAAGGAGGGAATTGAAAGGATCCATTTTCCTTCCCCTTTTAATAAATCAAATCCCACCATTGTTGGAGAGATTTGGAAGGAAAATGGAAGTTCATCTTCTCCCTCCCTTTCTTTCCCTCTTTTTCCTTCCCCTCCCTTACCCTTCACTATTGTTATTTAAACATGGTGTAAATGTTCCTTTATTTTACTACATGTCACAATCTACTTTCCCACCACAAAAAAATTGAAAAAAAGTTAATTCTATCATTCACACGCACGAACAAAAAAAGATATTACAAAACAAAAACAAAAAAAAACACCATTTCTTTCTCTCTCAACTTACAGTCTTTTTAGATAGAGAACTTTTCTTATGGTATCAAATATCCCGTGCATTAATGCACAGGTATACTATAGTATAAAAAATAAAGAATTTGCCAATGCAAACCCAAAAAAAAAAAATTAAAAAATAAATAAAAAAAATTTGAAAAAAAAAATAAAGAGAGAGATAGAGAAGAGCAAGATAGAATTACCTATCCCCATCAGTGATCATCTTCCTTGATGAGCTCACATTTTCATAGAGGAGAGGACCACTAAGAGCCTTTTTCTGTCCAGCATTAACAAATTGCGGTAGGGAGCTGCTCCGAACCAAATTGTCACCATTAGTTCTTCCTACTTGCTCATTTTCAGTTTTGGAAAAATTTATTTCAGCATCTGTCAGAGATGCATTTTTGTATCTAATACTCTTCATATCATCTTCACCAATATCAAAATACCCTCTGCAGAAATAATAAGAAGTGCTGGTAAGCAACTATGTAGCATAGAACTGGAATCAAAGTCAGTAACAAGTGGTAAATTTATTCTTAAACATATACACTCACAAGGATACACAAGCAAAAAAAGACACCTTAGTTAAACAGAGGAAGGCTACCTGAGGATCTAGAGAAGCTAGTGAATGAGGCAAAAAGAATGACGGAGTAAGAGCTTAACGACGGAGTAATAGAGCAGACAGAAAGAAATGAGTCTGATGTATTGACTTCTGCAAGTAGCTCTTACAATTCACAATTCATTTCTTCTTTATTACTTTTTTACTTTACATATGAAAAATTAGAACATGTCTATCAAGAATATTTAGAAACATTATATAAGCAAGTGATTCTGGCATTATTAAAACTAGAAAAGTCCCATCTGTCAAGTTGATGTTTGTTTGAAAATCCTTACCAGTTTCTGGGCCTCTAGAAAAATTTGCAGCACTGAAATTTAGGATGCAGAACGCTCCCACATATAATTAGTGAGCAAGGAGGCATAGGCTATTGGTAGTTAGAAGTTAGCTAATGGAAGTGGTTCTTAATGAAGTTCATGAAAAATACAAAATATTATTAATCAGAAAATTTAAAGACTGGCCCAACTGAAATTTAGGATGCAGAATGCTCCCACACATAATTAGTGAGCAAGGAGGCATAGGCTATTGGTAGTTAGAAGTTAGCTTATGGAAGTGGTTCTTAATGAAGTTCATGAAAAATACAAAATATTATTAATCAGAAAATTTAAAGACTGGCCCATTATGTCCCCATTGCAAAAAAAATAAAAAAATAAATAATAAATAATAATAAAAAAAAAGTATATCACATGAAAGGTTCATTGAATTATTTAAAATGCACCATCAGTTCTAAATGGAATGAAGGTGGTCCAATGTCTCCATTAGAGCAAACAATAGAAATCAAACTTACTTAAGTGCCTGCAGGGGTTGAATAGGAAATGAAGCCAGTGAACCTTCCAAGCTATCAAGATCATCAAACCCATCCTGAGATAGGAAGTGTTCACAATCACCAAGGATACATCAAATAAAAATGTCAACCACTTAGTGTGAATGAAATAGCTAAATTACCTCATGACTATCTGAAGTATTTGAATGAATCGTCCCCTCGGAAGATGGTTTATCTGTATGAACAGATTGTTCATCAAGCCTGTCTTTCAACCCTAAATTAGGGTTTTCTTCAATTAAATTATTGTCGTCATCTTGAATCTGCGGCAACACTTTAGTATTCAAAACATAATTCACAAGGCAACAATTCACTAAAATATATGGTAATTGCATAAATAAATAAATAAACAAACAAACAAAACAAAACAGGTGCTTGTTTCCACCTACACTTGCATCTACACATAGATGCATAGCAAGGAGATTGGAGTAAATTCAGTGAGCATAAGAGGCTTACAAGGGCTGCTTGATTCTTCAAATCCTCCAAGTTGAAATTCCAGGCACTTATGCCTCGAATGTACTCTTGCTGCATAAATCACCAAAAGTAAGAATGTGGCAACTATATCTTAAAACCCTAAAATATGCGAGTAAAACACTATAAAGGCTTGAGAAACCTTAACAAAGGAAATAAGTAGAGTTTGCAAAACATGAGTCAAGTAAATAATTAAAACTAAACACTTAAAACAAATAAACCAAAAAGTAATTTTAAATCATAACACGCCTTAACGTGAATATTTTTCTTCCACTCCGACCAATCAAACACTATAATTTCCTCAATCCTCAAAGTACTCATATCACTCTCAATCACACAATTTCAACTTTTTGGTAGGTCTTCCCCTACCCCTTGCAATCCCATCATACTTGGCCTCCAATTTACATGGTCAAACCACCTTAGGCGATTCTCCCTCAATTTGTATTCAACAAGCGTAACCCCTACTTTCTTCCTAATTATCTCATTCTTCAACCGATCCTTTCTTGTATAGGTATACATCCATCGCAACGTATGCATCTCCGCCACATTCATCTTATGAACGTGACATGCTTCACTGGGCCTAATTAGGCCTACTAGTCATTCAGTTGAATTTACCATTCAATCTATGAGGCATGCCAGGATCACATAAAAACCCCATAGCACCTTACATTTGAACCAACCTGCTTTGAACCCATGAGCAACATCTCCATCCAATTCCCCCATCCTTTTGAATAAAGGATTGTCAAAGACCTCTTGAACAATTTTTCGATCCAAAAGGTGATCGCCTCCCCGTTTCCAATCCCACTAAACTTACATTCCAAATACTTTGACTTACTTCTACTCCCCTTAGAGCCTTCCCATTTAAGGTTCCAAAAATTGTCTCCACAATTCTAACTTAATTTCCACGCATTCCTTCGTCTCATCAAAAATCATGCATCCCTGTATATCAACTTGAATTGAACTCGTAAATTAATATACATGACTATGACAAAATGAAAAGGGGTAGGGTAGAAACAAAACTCAAATTAATTTTAACACGAACTCTTCGGTCTTCCCAATACTGGTCTACAATCTCGAGATAGCTCTCGCATATATGTCCTTAGTAGAGCTGTCAGTTTCTGACCCGAACCGTTAAACCCGACTGTTTCGAACCGATCCGAAAAGGAACTGAACTGTTTAAAACCCGTTTTTTGGAAATCGAAAACTGACCCGACCCAATTTTTTCCAATCCGAAACTGAACTAAACCGAATTTGTGCAAACCGTTCCTAACCCGACCCGTTATCAAGCCAAACCATTACAACCCGAAACTGAAAGCAACCCAAACCGATTACGTTTAAACCCGATAGTAACCCGACCCGTTTTAAACCGAAAACCGTTAAAACCCGATAAAAATCCGATAAACCTAAATCGTTCCAACCCGTAACCCGTTGTGACCGAACCGGTTATAATCCGTAACCCGTTGTGACCGAACCGTTTACGACCCGTAGCCTGTTATGACCAAACCGTTTAAAACCCGTAACCCGTTATGACTGAGTCATTTACAGCCTGTTACCCAATATGTTTATGATCTAATCTGTTTCAACCCACTACTCGATAAACCCAACTTATTTATGACTTGACTTGATTATTACATGACTCGTTCCTACCCATTATCTGACTAATTCGACTCGATAATCATCCGACTCAATTTTAACCCGATATGATTTTGATTAGAAACCCGTTTCAAATTGGGTAAACTCGTTTTCAAACCAACCAAGTTCAATCTAAACCGATTATAACCGAAACAATAATGGTTGGACCCGATTTCACCCGATCTATTTTGAACCGAAACCCATTTTCGAATCGACCCAGTTAAACCCAAACTGATTATGACCCGAACCAATTACGACCCGTCCTGATTAAGACCCGAACTGTTTTTAACCGAAACCCACATTAAATGGGCTAAACACGTTTTCAAACCGACCCAGTTCAACCCAAATTGATTATGACCCGAACCGACTAGAACCCGACCCGATAAGGACCCGATCCGAATAGAAACTGCGATTAAAAAAACCAAACCGAACTGACCCGATAATTTTCAAAACCGACTCAAACCGACCCGCTTATTATTTCAATCCGTTATAAACCGACCCGTTATAATCCGAAACTGATAAACCCAACCCAAACCCGAACTGTTTAACCGAATTGACACCCCTAGTCCTTAGTGATGAAAATATAAAATATAATTCCGCAAAATGTCTTCTCCAAATTAATGAAAACCTTATATAAATCCTTCTTATCCTGTTAAATCCTCCTTCTTAATTAAAAAAAATAAAAATAAAAATAAAATAAAAAACTTTACTCGAAAAAAACATTAAATGGACAAAAAATAATAAAGCAAAAACCTACTTTAAATTTGACTTATACATGTACCCATCCTTTTCCCCAAAGACATATTGAGATTAACCAAAATCCCAACCCACTTATATAAAATTAACTTCTAACCGACACTTCACCTTTGACCTCCTAGCCCTTTGCTCCTTCCTTCACCTTCCACTGCTCACTGGGCATGAACAAATACAACTATACAAGTGCCTATACCATAGCAGCATATCACTATTGAAGGCCAAGCTGACCAGTATTTTTTTTAGTTCCTATTTTTGCAATCCTATATGTTTCCTTTCTTCAATAGTCAATACATTCAAATAAATCCCCTCACACAAACACATAAACCGAACAGAGTGCAATGGGTAACAGGATCCCCTCGAATTTACTTTATCTACTATCATGCTATAATGTTTTTTACTTGAACTGTATCACACTTCTTCCTGGGATAGTGGTGTCCATACAAGACTTGAACTCTTAGGCAATAACATTTAAAGAAGAATAAGAATCTTATTGTGGATTTACAGCACGTGACAAGATCTAATGAAAAAGATAATTGTTTGGGAAATCATTGATCTACGTGCATTATCTCTACAAGGAAAGATAAGTTGTTACCTGAGACAACTGATCCTTGTCCCCATACAAATCTTTGTTCTGAACAAGAAGATCTGCTTCTTTTGCCTACAACAGATAACAAAGAAGAAAAAAAAATAAAAAATAAAAAAATTATAAATAAAAACAGTTATTAAATATAGAAAATTAGCAGATTGGCAATTTGAAGCTGCCAGCAGAGGCAATAGAAAAGCAGCAAACCTTAAGCATTTGAAAACGTTCACCAAGTGGAGGCAGGCCATCAAGTATTGAGCGAGCCACAAAATCAGATGATTTTGCATGTTTGAAAAAGGGATGCTTAAATAATTTCTCAGAAGTGGGTCGTTTCTTTGGATCCTTCACCAAGCATGCAGCCACCAATTCTTTAAAAGACTGTAAAATTGAGGGGAAATGGTGAAAAAATTGCAATTTGTGCAAAGTTTATCTCTAAACTGCACCCAGCCCCCCTCCCCCTCCCTCCCCACAAAATAAAAGAAAGAAAGAAAAGGAATATAACCACCACCTTTGAGAATCGCTTATCTCTCTCATAATCAAGACCTGGTGGTGCATTTTGCAAAGTCATCAAAAGAACCTATAAAATTCCATAAAAAAAGAATAAAATGATGATCTAGACAAACGCATTGGTCTCTGATATTAGTAGGTAAACATTAATATACCTTCATTGGAGGGTACTTGGAGAATGGGGCATGACCATGAGCAAGCTCAAGAGCTGTTATCCCAAAAGACCATATATCTGCTCTGTTTACATATAAAAGTAAACTTTAAAAAATTGCCAAAACCTACAGGACTTAAGTAGTAAAATTCTTGTTAGGACTTCAGCAGGCAAAAGTAATAAAACAAAATTTAAAAAAATGCAAAACAAACAGACTCAAAATCAATATCAAAACTACGAATCCCTGAAGACAAAAATAATGATAGTCTCTAAATCAAACTCGGGTTCTGGTATCAAAACTGATGCATTTTGGTGTTAGAGTCAACACTTTTTATGAATATTTTGCAGACTTTGGTCCGAAATAACGCGTCCAACCCCATGTCCGAGAATCCATTGATATAGATACATGAATGAATAAGGTTAAAGAGAGGTTATGACCAGGTTTCAAATTAATTTAAGTTAAGATTAAAAGGTAACAAAATTTTTTACTAAAGGAAATGACATTGTTGAGATTGCCATGCACATACTTAAAATCATATCCATGCAGTTGTTGCATAACTTCAGGGGCCATCCTGCAAAAAATCAGAGTAATCCTTAAGAGGAATTGATACATAAAAACTTGCAGATAATAAATAAATGAAACAATTGACTAGTACCAGCACGGAGTACCAACGAAGGTATTTCTAGTCCGCTGTCTATCACCAGTGTCAAACATACAAGCTGAGACACCAAAATCTGCCACCTTCACTGTGCCATTGGAGTCAAGTAATATATTTCCAGCCTACAATGCAAAATTCAAAAACACATCATGAGTCAGACATCACGAGCAAATCCAATGTAAAGTTTATACCGAAACATCACATTAGAAGCAATAAAATAATTTAATCAACTAGTTATTTGGTGTATTTTCTGTAACAAACTTAGAGCTTTATCCTTCTCACACTTTGTATTGATTCATATTTCCATAAGAAGGCAATCAAGGAGAATTTAGAATATGAATGATAACAACGTTCATTATTTTGAACAACCTTACAAGGCATAAAATTCAGCTAATATTATAATATGTTAGGTAGGCGGTGATGGAAATGATGATGAAATTATATGTAATTATATAAATAAGATATGTCAATGTCCAGTCCCAAATCTTTCATTTCACCATGAATTTTAATTACCTAGATCGCTTTTTTCTCCATGATTGGCCAGCCCTAAATCTCTCCTTTTCTTCATGAATTTGCATTACCATTTCTCATTGTTTTAAAAGTTTTTTGAGTGGTGGTAGAAATTTCTAAGGATAAAACGAGTCAAGGATGGATTTCCTTTAACATGCCATTGTCATGAGAAAATTTCTTAGAGAATAACTGCCATTTCCAACATTTGTTATTGCCAACCCATGGGCCAAGGAAGACAAAGGACAAACGATAACCAATACTATTGCAAACAATTAAATGGTTCGAAAAGGACAATCCAACGAATCCCAACCAAAGTAAATCAAAGATATGTCTTCACTAGCAAAATACAAGGCAAAAGTAAGGACTTAATTTCTTCTAGGGTCTACCCTAAGCATCAATTTCACCTTAATTAGCAACTGAAACAAAAGCTTTTACCCACTGGAAAACCATACTCTAAGTAAAGAATCTTGAAATTATCATTCTCCAAAAATGCTAACAAAAGCAGAGACTCTAAGATTCCATCATCGGTGTGATAAGAAAAAAAAAATAAGATCTCATCAAATTAGCTAGCTCCTTCAACTTATGAGGGTTCCTTCGGAAATGAAACACCAAGAAAGATAATACCATCCCTCGAAGAGAGATGAGGAATTAATGAGTAGTAAACAGTTATTTAAAATTAAAAAAATTAAGGTTGTACTCTATTGAAATTTCTAGCTATAAAGATAGTACACTCTCCACTACCTTCCTTTAGTTTCCTTACTTAACACCAAGGGAATATAAAAATTTGTGAGCCTAACATCCAAAAACAACCTAAGACCTTATTAATGCATCCATATCGTTGAAGACCATCCTGCCAGGTTTCAAAAATGCAGCCGCGCCATCAAGTATCGGGCGAGTTGTGGCGGTTTTCAATTTTACCGAACCGAGATTTAGCGGTTTGATGTGGGTTTTTAAAATACACCGCATTTTCGGACTGAGTCAGCCGTTACACTGATTTCATTATAAATCGCCGGAAAAATCGCTTTGAATTCGCGAAATTTTCTTCAACTCCATTGAAAACCAAAGAGTGCAAAGGAAATAGGGGGAGGAGAGAGAGAGAGGGGCAGGAAGAGGAGATGGGTGCTATTTGAGGGGGGCTGTCAGAAAGGTCTAGGGTAGGGAAATAGGTATAGGAGAGGTGTCATTTTCTATACCACTTGTTTTGCTTTTGACCTTTTGACTACTAACTTTAACAAAAAAATTCTTTACTCTTTATGTGTTACAGTTGTTACCCAATATTTATCTTAGTAAACAATTTATTTTAGAGGAATTGTACCAATAATTAATAATAATTAAAATAATACTAGAAATAATTATGATAAAAAATATATATATATAATTTTTATTAGAAGAAAATGAAATAAAAATTTAATTTTTAAAATTTATGAGTAATTATATTAATAAACATATAAAATTATATAACTAAAATTTAATCACCACATCCGCGATAACCACATCAATTCTGTGTTAAATAAGTAAAATCACTAACCGCATCGATTGGGAAGAAAGAATGGTGATTAAATTTGAAAGCATGCATAGGAAATGCATGGGAAAATAAATATAGTGGAATTTTGTTTTACAAAATTGTCTGAAAAAGAGAAAAAAGTAAGTTGGCACATTCACCAAATATATATAGGAAGATTGAAGGAAATATTTTAACCATATATGGAAGATTCCAAATAAAAAACTTTTTAAACCATCCTAATTGGAAACTAAGAACAAAGGGAGTACAGAATTAGGTCTTTAGCATTATGAGTCATCAATAACTGTTGGCAAGAAGGCGGGCAAATTCAAGCAATGAACCATTGGCTATAAATTTTTTTGCATTATTTCAGGAACTAGCACATAAGCATACAAAGAACTTAACTATTATTTCTTCATCCTTCAATAACTCACAATGCCGAAACAAACTAAAAACTAGGGATAATTGATATTATAATTTCAAGCTTGCTTAAGAAGAGGCTGGACACCAACAAATCTCCAATGTAAAAAGGCATCAAAATATGTTGAACGAAGATTTTAAATAATTTAAAGAAATAAATAAATCAATAAAAAAAAAATTTAAATAAAACAGAAGATACTACCTTCACATCTCTGTGTATATGACCATGAGCATGAAGATAAACAAGTGCTTTAAGAGTTTCACGAAGTAGTGTAGCAATAATAGGTTCCTCAAAGCCTTCTGGATATGTAGACTTCATTATGTGAAGGCAAGATCCTCCCGCCATATATGGCATCACAACCCAGAGGCTGTGACCTGCTGTAAATGAGCAATGAGCACGTAACACATTTGGATGATCAATCAAACTCATTGTATGGACCTCACGACGAATTCCATCCTGCATAAGATGAAGCACATGCACTCAGTAGTAAAATTAAAATTATGCCAGAATACCAGATTATATCAAGCATAAAACAAAATCTTCATCCTATATATTTGGGCCTGGATAAGACATAAAAAATAAACATATTATAACATTTTCCACTAAGAAAAATACAGATATTATTTCTGTTGCATCACATAACATCAGATGAGGTCAAAGCAGAATCAAAAACATCACATACCTAAATGCCTACAGAGTTCAAGAGCTTAATCACAGAACTCTGTTGACTCAAGTACATCATACGGTCAAAATATGCCAATACATGGAAGGACAAAGAATTTCTTTTATTTATTGACACTTAACATGAAAGGCAACAATATAGGCCCACAATATTTCTCCATTCACTTAGTTGAGTAAATGGTTCATTCTTGGAGACCACTGCCATCAAGGTATTATATATTTCCGAGTTGTAAGGGGTTATCAAGTATTAGTAGATGGCCAACACAAATTACGGCTAATGCTTTCCCAAATAATGAAACTATCCAATATATGACCAATGCATACAATTATGTCAAGTATCATAAACCGCCATCTTTCATACAATGAAATACAGTGGATTTTCACAATACTCAACCATTACTAAGACCAAATCTGCAGCAGTCATTCAATTCTATTGCAATATGGCCCTCTTTCCACCTCCATAAAACGTGTGGTTCTCTGATAATTGGGAAGGTTTGTTAGTGATTTTACTTATTTAACCAAAAAAAAACCATAAAAACCAAAACTTAGCCATTAACAATTACAAGGGCACGTTGGAGATATATAAAAAAGTAGAGGGTCAATTTAGAATATGCCAAGGGAAAAAAAAAAAGAAGAAAAGGCAATAGTGAAAGGTCTTACGTAGAATTTTTGATAAGATGGCCATTACTTGAATCAATTTTCACTTCATTCATTTTGTCCTCCACTCAATGACATACAAGACTGCCATGACAGGTACACTCAAGAACTTAAAGAAGTCTTTAATGTTTAGAATCCAATGTACATGATATAAGCCTACTAATCAGGTCATCTCCCATATAGGCCACCATTGTAAATTTGTAACTCTATCGCACTACTCATATTTATAGGGACTCCAAAATATTTACAACTATAAATAATGAAATAGAAAAACATACAATAGTAATCACATGCTCTAGAGAGAATACTTCCAATAGGCAATAAGTAAAAGGAATGGTTGCAACTACATTCAAATAATAGTAATCACGTGCTCTAGAGAGAATAATTCCAAAAGAAGTATTTTACAATTATGAAAAAGTAGGCAATAATAAGTAAATGGAATAATTTTGCAACAACTAGATTCAAATAATATTTTGAAGTCATACAATAAGTGCAGAATTAATAAGGTAAGCACATACCAGGTCATTATTGCATCTCTCTAGATCAAGAACCTTAATAGCAACTACCTCATTGAACGGAATACAAAGAGCCCTGTACACGGTAGCACTCACACCTTCCCCAACTTCCTCATACAACTTGTATTCCTTTGCATCAACGGGATATTTTTTCTCTAGGACCTCCATTGTTCTTATAGTGCCATTCTATTATCCTCTTCACTCTCAGATGCTGCAGATAGCATAGGAAAAAAAAATGAACGCAAGAACCAAAGCAAATATAGACATCCTCCAGATCGACAGCATATTCCCACAACTCAGCAGCTTGTGGAAGGCATTGCTCACAGAATAATAGCCTAGTAGAGACAAGTATTTTACCTACGAAGGAGCACCCACTAGTAGAACACAAGTCCCAATTGCTGTAAGCTAAAATAGCTAGGCTTTTACAGAATCCACTACCTCTGGCAATACACAACAGAATCTTGATTCTCTTTGTTGATACCTAATATCAGAAACGGTGCTAAACTCCACTAAATCACGTCTGAAAAGAATCTCTAGAAGCATTAGTTGGGGATATATATCACATTTTTGGATCCAAGTCCATTTTATTTCCAAAAATTGGCAACAAATAGATCTAAAGATACCAAATAGGGACACATGCCAATAGTAAGCCAGCAGGAAAAACACCAACAGGAATATTTCTGCACATAGATACAGCAGTTTTATTAAACAATTATGTTCAAAGGTGTCTAATGATAGAACATAAGATATACCAGAAAACCACTATAAAACACCATCATTTCACACTACAATTTTATAGCATATACACCCTCCGTTCCTTGCATTTTGTTTAACAAAGAAGGAAGGAAAGGAAGGGGAGGGAAAGAGGAGGAAGGGGAGGGAAAGAGGAGGAAGGGGAAGGAAAGTGGAGGAAGGGAAGGGAAGAGAAAAGGAGGGAAAAGGTGAGCTCCATTTTCTCTCTAAATCTTTCCAACCTTGGGGGATTATGCTTATTAAAGAGGGAAGAAAAATGAATCCCTTCCTCTCCTTCACCTTCCTTCCCCCAAAACTTTACCCGAACATGAAAAAGTTTCCTCCTCCCATTCTCTTCTCTTCTTTTCCCTTCATTTCCTTTTGTCCAAACAAAGTGTAAATATTAACTCCATATGCTAATTGAGAGTCAAAGTTTAAGTCAATCTTTGACCACATATTCACATTAACCTATAAGAAGAAAATTAATTTTTCGTAGCGTGTAGTTTCATGATATCTATTATTTTTTAGAAAAAATTGCCCAAAATAATACAACATTTTTCTACTTCTCCCACAATAATATTATCTTTTGATTTTTTTAAAAAAAAAATCCAAGCTATGATACCTATGTACTCATAGCAACCCAGTAGGTCACCAAACCTTAGTTTCCGGTTGCCAATCTATGTGTCATGTTCTAATTGACTTAAACTTTTTATTTAAATATGAAAATATTTTTATTTTTATTTTTATAATTCTAATAATTACAATAACATAATAACCCTCCCCCTTCTTTCTCTCTCTTCCTCTCCCTAGTTCTTTCTCTCTCTTCCCCTCCAATGGCACCCCACCACCGTAGCTTCCTTTCTTCCCCTTCTTCTTCCTCTCCTGCTAGATGCCCCTTTGCTCCTTTCTCTCTCCTCCCCATCAATCCACCACGCCACTTCCTCTTTACCTAACCTGCCTTCTCATGTTCTCTCTCCTCTTCTTCTCTCTTTCTATTTTTGGGTTGGGTGGTTTCCAAGGGGGATTGATATGGTCTTTGGGGTTGTTAGGGTGGATTCCATGGGGCGATAGCAATGTTGGTGTTTGGATTTTTTCGGGGAAAGGTGGTTGTCTCCATGGATTTGAGGGCAGAGGGGTAGGTGCGCATACGGTGATGCAGAGGCATTCGGAGGTGAATTCCATGTTGGGTTGTGAGGTTGGGGCGGGGGGAGGAGGGGAGCTAAAGTGGTGATATGGGTTTTTGTTTTTTTCAAGGAAGGAGAGTGGTGGTGGGGGAGTGTTGGATATGGTGGCTGGGTTTGGAGTTCGCTTCAGTGAAGGCGCGTGGATGGTGGGTTGGTGATTTTGGTAGTAGTGGAGGGAGAGCATTTTTTTTTTTAAATTTCATTTTAGGGATGAAAAATAAGTTAATTATATTAATAATGTGATTAAAAAGGAAAAGGGAAAAAAATAGCGTATTGTTTATGTAATCAGTCATTTAGATTTGTACGAGTATAATACCCCTAAAGGTTGGATTTATTCTAGAATAATTACAGGGTGGGATTATTTTGGAAGAATCGGACAAAGGTTGGATTATTCTTCGGTTCTTCCTTATAATATTGAAGTAAACTATAGTTTTAGGTATTGTGAAAATGTAGGAATACTAGTATATTATTTACATACATGAATAATAGAAGAACCCTATTCTGATTCCCAAATCGGGCATAGACTAGCTGCAAAATTTATAATGTGCCTTGACTTATGCAACACGTGTTAGCTCATTAATTCATTGTGCACAACAATTAGATTCATTTTCGGAAACAAGTAAGCTCAGTAATTTATTTTATGACCCATATCAGAGTATCATGTTTGTCACATAAGATTTTACAAATCATTTATCTGTAACATACAAGTGTCTTCTCACATGCCTAATGCTTTTGCACCTTATATAAGCAGGCCCATCCCTGAGCAAGGGCAGGTGGGGCAGCTGCCCTGCCCAGGGGAAAAAAGGTCCATTTTCATGGTTTAGTCCTGACATTAAAGAGTATAAACCAAAGCCTGCAACACATTAGCAACCAAAGTTGACTTAATTATCAAAGTAAGCTCGAAAAACTACGTTTAATTCTTATTTCATAGTTCGATCATAACATTAAAGGGTTCTGCCATACATTAGCAACCACATTTGATTCAATTATCACATAAGTTAGGAAGAAAAGGCATATTTGATTCAATCATCAATTAGGCTCATAATTTTATTTATTAACGACATAATCGCTGGTTATAATCTTTCATAATCTCAGTAATTAAAACCAATAGTTCAGATTTCCAAACGCTAAACTAACTAAACTGACAATTAAATTAAATTAAATTAAACCCTAGATTGTGATATTGATACGATGGTTACAAAAGGAAACACCAACTTACCTCAGAAGCTGCTTCAAAGGGGGATACATGTATTAGAAGGCGCTTCAATGGAGAACATCATAGGCGCTTCAATGGAGAACTGAGAAAGAGAAGGAAGAGGTATAGCTACGTTCATCCGGGATTTTTTTTCCTTTTTGAGTTGTTGACATTTGAGAATTATAGGCAGAGCAATTCAATGGGTTGGACCGTTGGAGCCTTGAAGCCGGTACGGATGTCAATTCGGTTAACTGGTCGGTTTCGGGTTGGATTTATCAGTTTCGTAAAGTAACAAATTGGTTTATAACGAGTTGAATGATTAGCAAGCCGATTCAATTTAAATTTGAAAACTAGTTAGTGACCCGGACGATGCCCCGTGTTTTTGTTTCTTTGTTGTTTGTAGATATTGTGATATTCAGCTTATAGTTTTTTAAAAATATTACTTTATATAATTCCACTATGTTGTCTTGCTAAAATTATGTACCTATAATTTGCAAGTTTTTCATTTATAAATAGCACATATATTGAAAATTAAATAGCAATAATAAAATCCTGTAAATGCATAAGTAATAGTTAGAGTAATTAACAATACCTTACTTGATTGCTAATTTTTACATTCAGTAGTGTAGACACCCAAATGTGTCTCCCCAAAACCAAACCCAGTGATGAATATCTTTCGTGTCATTTGATTATCGAACGAGGTGAAAGTGTGAAAAGTCTAGTGATAAGGATGTTTTTATTAAAATATCTCTTCATTCTGTTTTTGAAAATATTTCTTTTCTTACCCTATTTATGAAAAATGTGCATTTCAGTTTAGTTTGGTCCATGATATGGGTCCAATAATAGTGTAGTTGGATGGGGTTGAAAAGACCTTTCCAACGATATATTATAAGCCCAATTTCGATTAATAATGAGAAAGTTATGGCCAAAATACTAAACTGGGCTCGGTTTGGTTCTTACATACGGCCGATGATCTAGAGGAGGGCCTATTATTAATTATCATTCCTAAAGCTATTAGGATTGATTATAGTCTTCTAGAATACTCTAGAAGATTCTCTTAAATCCTAATGGAGTTAGGATTGATAATTATGTTTCAAAAAGTTTAAAATTGAATAAAACTACTCCTTTTGAAAATCCTTGTTTTGTACGAAATGGAATATATTAAGATATTATTTTCGTGCCTCATTAACGGGCTCAAGTCGTATTCACCTAATCAAAAATAAAACCTAAATCCACTAACTATGTAGATAGGTAAGAAGGGTCGAACCACAGGGAAACAGGTCAATTTATTCCTAATTAATTAGAAGCAATCTAAATTATCAAGTAACCAAATTTGTTGTAAAAGAGTAATTAAACAACTAACGGTAAAAGTAGGAAGGGAATAAAATAGGAGATAAATCAATGAAGGAAAAATTTAGGACATAGGTTCACTAATAAACAATATTCTAGGATAAATCATAAGAAGCAATCATCAATGCATCAATTAATCAGATTATAAAGGGCTTTCGCTACGTATTACAATCACAGAGTTAATTTACCGGTATTAAATCTAATCTGTCGAATCTCGACTTAACCATTTATAAATTAGTCCGCCTATTGAAACTAAGCCTAAACATCAATTCTCATCTCTTGAATCTCGAATCAATATTGTTAAACTCATACAACTAAATCTGGCCAAACCTAATTGCATAGCATTAAATCAATCAATAGGAAAATAATCAAGCATTGATAATCAACTATCACAAATTACCCCTTCATATTATTTATTTGATCCCCATAAACCCTAGAAATAAAGTTACTCAAGCATAATTAAATCTAAACTAATCAAAACAATAAAACAAGACATGATGCAAGAATTAAAGAAAATAACTGAAATTAAAAGAGAAGAAATTGTTACCAAAAGAAATCTGGATTAAGGAATGGAATTAAGAACAAAGTTCAGAGAATTTAAGGGAGAGAAAATATTCTAAGTAGAGAGAGAAAGTCTAAAAGAGAAGGTAATAAAAATTACGTACAAAAATCGTACTTAAACATCCCTAAAACAAATCCTAATTAAAAAATAAAACCTCAGCTCCAAAAACACGCGCCCGATCGGGCGAAGGGCCGTCCGATCGGGCCTGCCTTTTTCTTCACGATCTTCCTAGGCAGCCGCGCCCGATCGAGCTAGTGCTCACCCGATCGGGCGCGCCTTCTTGCTGGTGATGTCTTCTACGCGCCCGCCCGATCGGGCGCAAGCTTGCCCGATCGGGCCCGGCTTCTTCTTCGAGGCTTGGACTTCGATTGGGCTCGATTCTTCGGCCCAATCCGGATTTCCTCTTCGGGTCTTAAATACTCGATCCAAATACCCCACTATCACACACCGAGCCCTTAATCACCGAATCTAACCGATCCTGGGCTTCAAAGGTGGTCGTGTCCTCCTAATGCTCATAGTTGCTCCATGAAAAACCCGAAATATGCGATATATTATAATTTTAAATCCGAGCTATAACGAAAAAGATATGAATGAGATACGAAACTCTATCCAAAACTAACACCCTTCCACTATTTCAGCCATATCTTTTTGTCTACAAAATATTTTAATCTGATTTTAATTGGGTTAAAATTAGACTTCAAGAGATTTCCAACGACATATTATATGACTTATTTGGACTTCTGGATCAAAACATATGATAAAAACAAAATCCGCAAAAAGTGTCTTGCATCGCCAAACGACATGTTTGTTGCCTAGCGAAAAAGCTTGTCGCCAGCGACAAAATCGTCGCCTGGAAATAAGTTATGTTGTTGGCGACAGAGGCCTGTTTTATTCCTTTTTGAACTTTGATTCTTTTCTATCAATTTCGCACTATTTTCTTATAAATAGGGTCCCTGACCTCTGTTTTTCGATAACCAGAATTCTCTAATTCTCTTCCCTCTCTCTAAGCTAAAGCTTATTCTCTCTCTCCCTCTTTCTAGCCTAGCCTTTTACAAACACAATTCCTCATACATTAGCACTAGACACACCTAGCCAAGTTCGAAGTTGCCTTCTCCCTAGAAGTGAAAGGTTTGGTATTTCTGAGGGTTTGGTCCCAAATCTCTATTTCAATTATTTAATTTAATTCTTTAATTTTATATTTTCCTTGTAGTTACTAACGCGGTTTATTTTGTTATTAGAAAGAGGTACGAGGAATCCAAGTAAGTGCTTTAATTGATATTATGATATAGAAATCATGTTTAGGTTGTTATTTTGATTTCGAGTATCATGTTAGGATGTTTTTCCTGGTATTATGTTTAGGGTAATGAATAAGTTTCTTAAATCAATTATAATTTCTATGATGCTTCTATTTTCTTTCTTAATACCATGTTAGTATCATGTTAGGGCTAAAGATTTGATCTTTGATTGTTTAGTGACATACTAGGATTTGTTATTAATCTTGTTAGTATCATGTCTAGGATCTTGCTATTACTATATTATGCTTTAACATGATTATTTTAATTATGATTGTTATAATTATTGTTATTTATTATTATGTTGCTTGATATTTATTGTTATTGTTTGATCATGCCTTTTATGCATGTTTAAAGGGAATTTGTAATCACGATTAATAAGATAGTTAATAATCTTATTTAGGATAATATGATTATAATTCAAGTGATCGCCAATAATAGGTTTTATTTGTGCATTAATATTCAACCAACATAGAGTAAACAGGTTTAGGGTGAACCTATTGATTGCATGTTAGTCAGAAAGCGCACATGAATACGAGAAGAATAAAGTAGAGGCCTATTATTAGGGCAAGTTCTTTCTCTTTTAGATTGGATTAATTTGTACCTTCATCCCCGAACTTCCAGTCTTGGTTCCAGACCTATTGGAGTTGACGATCTCCTGGATTGTTAAGGGGTGTAACCTTCACCTAGTGAACGGTTTACAAGTTCCTAAAACTTGTTGGCGACTCTTTTGCTCTAGCTTCCTTCCCTTTAGACGCTACCATGCTTAAGTGTATGATCACAGTGGGGTTCAAGTTTGGGGTAATGCTTGAAATGTTTGACAAGGGTTGGAACTAGTTCGTCATCTAATTCTCCCTTGGTCAAACTAAATTTGTAAACGCTTAACAAACCTTATACGACTATAGAAGCAAGCTAAGGGTCGAACCCAAAGGAATGAATCGAAGCTATGCTATTGATATGTCCATTTTATATAGTGTTTTATCACCGTCCCTTAGTCGTTATTAGTAGTGTTTTTGGCTCTTTCGGGCCACTTTTATTACTAATTTGTGTTTTCTAGTGTTTTCGTAGTTTTAGTTGTATTTTACAGGAAATTGCACTCTTGGAGCATTTTCCCGGGCTTTATGGATCAACTACGGAAGCTAGAAGGACACAACCACTTTTGAAGCCCAGGATCGGTGAGAGCCGGTGATTAAGGGCTCGGTAATTGGGATCCCGAGGCTTTGGACCGAGTATTCAAGACTCGAAGAGGAAATCCGGATTGGGCCGAGAATTCAAGCCCAATCGAAGTCCGAGCATCAAGGTGAAGCAAGGGCCCGATCGGGCAACCTCTAGCACGATCGGGCGCGGCGCTCTAGTGTTGTGCGTGGCTTATAGCGCGCCCGATCGTGCGAGCCTCTAGCACGATCAGGCGACGCTGATGGGAAGGAACGCAAAGAAAAAGGCGGGCCCGATCGGGCGGCCCTTCGCCCGATTGGGCGCGCGTTTTTTATAGGACCCGATTAGTTAGCCTTAATTTTTGTTTTAGAAAAACGTTTAAGTATGATTTTTGTACGGATTTTAGATTACCTTCTTTCTTAGACTTTCTCTCTCTACTTAGAATATTTTCTCTCTCTTAATTTTTCTCTCAACTTTTGTTCTTAATTATTTCCATTAATTCCAGATTTCCTTTTGGTAACAATTTCTTCTCTTTTAATTTCAGTTATTTTACTTACTTCTTTGTTTATGCTTTTATTTGTTTATTTGATTAGTTTAGTTATGATGATGTGTGAGTAGTTTTATTTCTAGGGTTTATGGGGATCTAATAAATGATATGAAGGGGTAATTTTGTGATTGTTAATTATCAATGCTCGATTGATTTCCTATTGATTGATTTAATGCTATGCAATTAGGTTTCGCCAGATTTAATTGTATGAGTTTAGCAATATTAATTCGAGATTCGACAGATGAGAATTGATGTTTAGGCTTAGTTTCAATAGGCGGATTAATTTATAAATGGTTAAGTCGAGATTCGACAGATGAGATTTAATACC